GTCTCACATTCATTTTTTCTGCTGTCAGGCTTTCCAAAGGGACTCCCCCCTTGCAGTTGATCTGTCAACGGCTATCCTTCAACTCTCCGAAAATGGTGATCTCCAGAAAATCCATAACAAGTGGTTGACACACAGCGAGTGCACTATGCAAATCAATCAAGTCGACGAAAACAAACTCTCCCTAAGTAGCTTTTGGGGCCTGTTCCTCATCTGTGGCATTGCGTGCATCTTGGCTCTCACTGCCTTCTGCTGCAATATCATTACTCAGTACCGCAAATTCACCCCAGAAGGCGAGGAAGCGGAGGCCGAGGAGATTGAACCTGCAAGGTCATCCAGGCGCTCCATCGGCTCAGGCAGCTTTAAGCAAATAATGGATTTTGTAGATAGGAAAGAAACAGAGATTAAGGAGATGCTGAAGCGAAAGAATAGTAATGAGAGCAAACAACAGTCCATTCATGGCTCGGATGGACAGGCAAGTTCACCAGCATAAGGAGAAACATTTTGTTTGGTCTGTTGGGGTCTCCTCTATAGGAAATTCATGCATGCAACATATCTGCTCCATTGCTTTGAAGTGAAAACATAGGTGGCTAGGTTTTTTCCCTTTTTTTTTTCCCCATTTTCATACCCTTTTTTTTTTTTGTAGGAAATAGCAAAATGAGAAATTATTGGCTAGCTCTAAACCAATTTGTATTATACTACAATGTAACTTAGCCAAAAAATAATGTAATCCACATTTCACTCTCAAGGAAGGGAGCTTTCAAAATGTAGATAGTTTCGTTATTAGAATTGGCTTAATGTTTGAAAAAAATCATTGAATTATTTTTAACAAATTTAAATAAAAATTTATTTTTATTACTTTCAATTAACTTTTGGTATTTTAATTTGGGTTAAATAAGCTTTTATAATTAATGGTTGACTTATTATCATTAGTTAAAATATTATTTATTATTTTATTTATACATAAAATTGACATGAAAGGTAAAAAATGATATAATTATATTAACATATCACGTTATTATTTATTATAATATGTCAATATGTTATATGAGCATCATGTGACCTATAATGATAAATGGCATTTTAACTAATAATAGTTAATCAAATATTAATCATAAAAACTTATTTAATTTAAAATTAAAATATAAAGATATGATTAAACTTAATAAAAAATTTTATTTATATTTTTCTAAATAATTTAAAAAGCCTTTGAAGTATTATACTTTTAGAATTCAACTTTTCATTTTGTCTAATTAAGATGTAACTCTTTTGGATTTTATCCACTCAAAAAATAAATTGATAACAAAAGTTAACAAATAAAGTTAATTGGATTAACGAAAATAATTTTTGATAAATATATATAAATATTTTATTTTTATTAATATTAATTTTTATATTTTATTATCAAATGTTTAAATTGATAAAATAAAAAAATTACATTTTAATTTGATAGAGATCATAAGTTAAATTAATCCTGTTGAGTTAGATGGCAAACAAAAAATGAGAATATTTTTTAAGAAATGTAAACGGGTAAGGTACCCACTATTTTTGAGATATTTGCACTTAAAACTGTTTAAATATTAAAATATCCAAATTATATAAAAACTCAAATAAAATAAAAAAATATTATCAAACACCGAATTCTATTAGAATAGCACTACTGATTAATTATTTAAATATGTTAATTACGTGATTATTTAAAGTAAATTTTTAGTATTCTATCAATATGATAATTCGAACTCGAAATTCGAAATCCAAATAAAAAATATTTTACATTAATTCATATATAATTAACTAATATTTAAAAACTATTCCACAATTAAAATCAATATAAATACAACATAAAAATAATACAAGTGTAATATCAAACATCATATTTAACTTTGAACATACAACAACATGAAAACATCATAAATTTCATTTGAATTCTTCTTTTTCCTCAATATCAATTGTGAAAAGTTCATTTCAAACTGAAAATCTTGTACAAATTAAAATGATGAAAAATTATGTAACAAAAACTATAATAAATATTTTTATAAAAAGAATATAAAAAATAATTAATATATTATTTATCTTCCATTTCATTCCTCAAGTTCGGGTGCATATTAATACATTCTAAGTTTTTAGATGATGCCTACTTGGATGTGTACTCACTACTCTCCCAAACTAACAAAACAATAATATGTTATTAAGTTGGTATCATAGTTTAAATAATATAAATTAATTTTACATTTATTAGCTTACAAGTTCAATTAATATAAATTAATTTTATATTTATTAATTTACAAGTTCAATTAATATAAAAATTTTATATATTTAAATTTACATCATAAGTAATATAAATTAATTTTATATTTGTTAATTTATAAATTCAATTAATATAAAAATTTTATAAATAATATAACTATAATTAGATTCCATACGAATTTCGGATATCGAAAACTTAAATTAAATATAATCAGGTTTGGATTTAAGGTATCCGAATTTTACCTAAAATTTATATCTGAATTCATCCTGTAACCGATTATGAAATATTGAAACTTTTTTTTATCAGATCAAATACTCACGGATACTCGATTATTAACTATCATTTATATCCTTACATTATTTTACCGTTAAGAGTTTCTTTTTCAACGTTTTTGACCGTTTTGGGCCATTATGTTGTCTTGTCTTCTGGACAAGAAATCTTCCGGGCCATTTGTGTCTCCCTAGTTGGTAAAATCGGTTGGACTTTTCAAAGGAAACAAAACGAAATTGGCCCATCTTCTGTACTTTCTGGAACTCATTCAAGGACTTTATTCTTTTATTTTTTGTCTTTTTTTTTTCTTTTAGGTGGAAATAATGCTGCGAGTGTGAGTTTTTTTAAAGTAAAAATTAGTAAAAGATAGGTATAATATTTAAAAAGTTTTTGAATTATTTAAATTTTTTATTTTTATTATATTTTATTAAAATATTATATTTTTATTTTAAATCCAATAAATTTTTATAATTAAAAATTAATGAATTATTTTAATAAAAATGTTATTTATTATTTATGTTGTATGATATTAACATTATATTATGAATAGGGATGTGATATATTAATATAATATAATAATATGATTATATATCATTTTTACTTTTCAAGTAAATATAAAAAAATAAGAGTTAATCAATATTTAATGATAAATATTTATTTAATTTAAAATAAAAATATAAAAATTTAATTAAATTTAATAAAAAATAAAAATTTATTTAAATTTTTTTTAAAACATTTCAAAAAGATATTAAGATGAGAAGAGAAAAATAGAAATTAATTATTACAAATTTCAAAATAAATAATGGATAACTATTGAATTTTATATACTTATAAGAAAATAGTAATTAATATTTATATATATCCATTAAAGCGATATTTATAAAAAATAAATTAATATATTACTTATAATAATAATAATAATAATGCAAATCATCAGTTTAACAAACCTTTATTTAAAGGTTCTTTAATGACATCACAGTTGAAAAAGTGGATTTCATTGAAAAGTATGAATTTTTGTCTTTTGTGTAATGATTGTTAAGTTTATTCAATCAAAATTCGAGCCACGCGTCAAATGTCTGGGACAACTGTCCATCCGGTTCGGCAAGAGCACATAGGCCCACGGGGAGTGTCGCGGTCAAGCGAATCTGCAAGATATATTCCACGTTAGCCCGTTGAGAGCAAAGTTTTGTGGTAAACAGGTATTTCATATAATAAAAGATAATATATTGTTTTTGTGAAAAAAAAAATTATTAATTTTTAATCATTTGTAAAAGACAAACACCCAACGAGTCATAAAATAACAAATTCATGAATTCTCTAAACGCAGAATTATATGAAACCAAATTATCATCAAAATAAAAACCAATATTAATCAAATGATTTGATATTATATTTCTTTTTCTATAGATGTGAAAAATCTACACAAACCATTCACCTTTCAACATTCAACGAATAGCTTCAATTAAATCAAAATTAGCAGAAGGATGGGTTAAGGTCTCAAATATTGTCTAAGCAACCATTTTATTATCAACCTGTAGCCAAACCTTATGAGAGCCTCTGTCTCAGGCCAACTGAAGCGCTCCACATGTCCCCCAAAGTTCAATTTTGTAGGACGAATAAGTACCCAACTTGTTGACAAATCCGCCTCTCCAATAACCACAATGGTTTTTTATGGTGTCACCAGCAGAAGCCAATTCTGTATTTTGCCTACAAGCCCTATTTGTATTTAAGGTCACCCCTTCAGAAGTAAGGCATTGTCATCCTATCAGTGTCTCCTCCTTATATGGCTTACTTTCAGCAGTCAATTGGGTCACATTACAGATCATGTTCAACATACCTTCGTTAAATTTCAACTTGCTGCTAATTGGAGTTTGCTTGCCATGAAAAACCTTCAGATTACGCCATTTCCATATATACAAGCAAACAACACCAAGCCAAGTTTGCCCCGGCATCTCATCAACTTTGAGCTTGGGCTTTTTCAAATTAAATAGCTATCATTTTACTAAAGGGCAGTCGAAGAATTACCCTAAAGCTGGTTGAGGTAATATTTTCCTCCAAACTTCTGATGCTTGTGGGCAGTCACGAAGCAAATGTAAGAGCGATTCCTCCCCCTCACTACATAAAGGAAAGGATGATGAGAGAGCCATGTGCCTCCTCAAGCGTTCCGCATTTGTTAGCACTCTTCCATGCATGCATTGAACTAAGAACATCTGGATTCTTTGTGGTTTGAACCATTTCCAAACACTCTCCCATTTACAACTTGGTTGACCGTAATAACTTGGTTTCCTATGTCACAGCATATCATACATTGAACCCACTGTAAAATTGCTTGAGATTGAGTAGGCCCAATGGGGCAAATCTGGTTTGAAATGCAACATGGGAGGCATGGTAGTTATGAGTTTAGTCACTAACTCACCTGGTAAAACTACAGCAAGCTTTGCCATAGTCCAACTTTTATCAGTTGATGGAAATTCCCTTATGTAACACTGTTCATCTGTAATGTTGTGAGAGGAAGGCACTAAATCCTTAAGAGCAGCATTTTCTAACCAAATAGCCTTCCAAAACCAAACTCGCAAACCATCACCTAGAGCCCATCGAATATTGTGTATGAAGGTAGGCCATACTTTACTCAACGAATGCCATAGGGAAGAAACACCAGAATTTGATATTGAGTTAGGTCTTCTATCCATATTGAAACTGTATTTTCCATGTAAGATTCTAACCCATAACACACGAGGTCGAGTAACCATCTGCCACAGTAATTTTATCTTGAAGCTTTATTCATTAGATGAAGTTTTCTCACTCCCAACCCACGTTTCTTCTTTTGGTCTACGCACTATATTCCATTTGATTAAATGCACCTTTAGATTGTTATGATCACCGGCCCAAAGAAAATTTCTACAAAGTCGTTCTATTCTATTACAAAACTTAATTGGAATTGTTGTCGTCTGCATCACATAATAAAGAATTATGGATAACATTGACTTCACCAAAGTAAGACTCCTCCCAAAAGACAGCAATGCTTCTTTCCACCCACTAAGTTTGCTACGAATTTTATCCTCCAAATACTTAAAGGTAGTAACTCCTTTCTTTCTTGTAAACAAGGGAACTCCAAGGTATTTGCCCATATTTTAAACATTCTATAAACCTGAACAAGCTTGGAGGTCCTCAATAAAATTCAAGGAGACATTATTTGAATAATAGAAAATAGATTTCGATTCGCTAACCTTTTCACTAAAACAGTTACATAAATCATCCAAAACTCTTC